AGCTGAGGCTTATACGAAAGAAATCGCACCGAATGGAACTCTTACTCTTACTGCTCGTGTGCGCAATGCGACAGCGGTTGACGCTAACTGGACACGCGTGGCTTTACCGAACGGAAAGTTGTTTTATAACTTAATGGTGTATGGAAAATTTGTCATCTTCGACTCGGGTGACTTGAGAACTGAGGATCGTATTGAAACTGCTATTTCTGTCGAGGAAGCTGAAAAACTGTTCACATACAATGGCCTTCTACCATTCAGTGATTACAGGCTCTGGGTGAATGCGTCGAATTCTGTTGGGTTTATTCTCAGTAACAACGTCACCGTGTCCACCCCTGAAGGAGGTAAGTGACCATTTTGTCACGTCTAGTATCAGAGGGAAGATAAACTTTGAAAGATCACTCTCTGGGTTTTAAGTCTTGAAGAAGATGCAAATATGTTTCAACAAAATTAAAAGACTGATGCATTGAATAATCGATTCAAACAGTAACTTAGACATAGAGGAGAGGATATCATTTTGTTCGATGTGTTGACTTTGGCATGACCTTGACTTAATACTGAAGCAATGATACTTAACAGAAATATTTATGATGTATTTTACAGATGCTTTTGAAATCAGTAATAGACATGTTAACCCTTTAACTCCCAGATCAAATTTGTAATTCTCCTCACTCCCAACCATACAAATCTTATAATGTTAGTTCAGAGAATTTAGTATTGGATCAACTAATTTATATTATATTTTTCTTTACTCTTATCACTTATCTGGTTGATATTGTGTTGATATTGTAAGGAGAAATTCTGTCTTGGTCACTCATGGGAATTTAATGGTTGATAGGAATGATTACTTTTTTATGTACTTTGATTCTAGTTCCCGGCGGTCTGAAAGCCCCCAATGTCACTGTGTTGAATTCGACTGCTGTCCATGTCACGTGGGAACAACCTGCATTGCCTAATGGGATTGTTCTTGGCTATGGACTTCATCAGAAAACTGACGGCTCTGAAACACTTCGGTTCAGTGGAATGGGTTTTAATTTTACTGTCACTGGCTTGGACCCGTTTACGGACTACCGATTCCGTGTAAATGCCAGCACTGTAGCGGGGTCTGGGTTTAGTGAGTGGACTCTGGTCAAGACCTCTGAGGATGGTAAGTCTTATCTCTTTCGACCCACGTTTGACCAGCTCTCTTTGGGTCGTTTGTAAAGACAGTGAAAATGAAAGGATTCCCACGGTCATTCACAAGTAAAGAGGTCGTTTGAAATACTTGAAAAATGGTGATGGGACAGTGTGATGGCATTGCTTGTTCGAGTTTGCTCTTGATTTTTTATACTATCATAAGGGAAATTCAGCGCTTAGTGTTGCAGCTTCCAAACCCTTTTTTCCATGAGAGTTTTGTGTCGTATGTCGCCGGTTACTTATGAATAGTGCATTATGCACAGTGCATTTGGTGACTGTGTCCGTTCTTGTTCTATCAGTCCCAAGTTCCCCGGATGCACCAGATTTTAGAAATGTGACTTCCGCATCTGTGACACTGGTCTGGGACGAGCCAGCTGAACCCAATGGAGTGCTCCTTTATTACGTCATTTATCAGAATGGCACTGAGATCAAGAGAGTCACGGGAAATGTCACCAAATATGTAGCTGTTGGTCTCCAGCCCTTCACTGTCTACGTGTTCAAGCTGAGTGTGTGTACAGCGGTAGGCTGCAGTAACAGCTCGGACTCAGTCCCCATGAGAACTCTGGAGTCAGGTGAGTGCGTGGCTAAATCTTCCATGTGTTATTTGTTTTCGTTTTTTTTTTTTCGCAAGAATATGTTTTCCATTCAACAAGTTGCGTTTACGAAGCTGCCTTACAAGAAATCGCTTTACGCCTAAGGTTGCTAATTTCGTTTCCTACGATGTTAGAAATGTACGTACTAACTGGAATTTAAAAAAATTATCAAAATTGAAGTAGCGATCAACCAACCACATCTCTTAAACTGAAATAGTAAAGACTGGGTGACCCCTTTGTTCCTGCGCTCCAGATTTTGCTTTCACGGCAGTAATTCAAATGCACTGTAACGAGCTATTATAAGACTTACACTAAGATTTGCTTCCTTCTCGTATTGTAATGTTTTAATAGGTCCACAAGGTTTGTCAGCTCCAAGGCTGTCATCTCTATCAGGGAGAACTGTGGTTATTGAATGGAACCCACCCTCCGTGCCTAATGGCGTCATTCTCAAATATGTGATTCAGCGGCGAGTCGTGGGTGGTGGAAATCCAAGCGATGTCGCTGAAGTGAATGCCTCTCTTCCACTGCATTACGAGGATAATACAGCACAGCCAGTGACCAATTATCAGTACCGCGTGATAGCGTATAACAGTGGTCCGGGAGAACCCAGTCCATATGGTAACATTACTACAGGCGAGGGAGGTATGAAGCTAATGAAATCAAACACAAATGCTTGCTTCATATTCTATTTGAAAGCTGCAGTCGAAGACTACTTGGCTGTTGTGTATTATACAAGTCTGTGGTAATAAGACTCTTAAAAAATCTCTCTCCATAAATCAAGTCCCGCCAAACTTAAAGAACCGATTCATGCAGATGTGAATTATAAGCGAAAAACAAATCTTCGGGAATGCACTCATTTAAGATTCCGTCTTTCGCCTATTTTCAATGCCAGAGGGATCATGAATTATTTTACTCTCTATCATATTTGGCCTTCACACCACTAACATAGCATTTGTACCTTTGTTCCAGACCCTGAAGGCATCGCAGCACCAACTGTTGTAGCACTCAGTCCATACGCCATTCACGTGACTTGGAAAAAACCCAGCATTCCCAATGGCGTAGTGACGCAATACGTCATCAGAGTCGTGGACCAACAGCAGTCACGCAACACCACAGTGAATGCTAATGAACCGTTTGCGCTAAACGTGACCTCACTCGATCCTTACATCATGTACAACGTCTTCGTTAGCGCATGCACAGTTGCTGCATGTGGTAGCAGCCCGCCGTCTCAAGTGCGCACGCTTCCTGCCAAACCTGAAATGCAGCCAGCGCCAACTGCAAAGACAGATTCACAGACCTCTTTGAACGTGACATGGGAGCCTCCCCTCAGGCCAAACGGGGTGATTCGTTCTTATGTGCTGTACAGGAGAACTGTTGAAGACCTTGTGGAAAATAACATTTCAGCACCAACAGATTATGTACAGGTGTATGAGGGGCCGGCTTTGATCCGAGAGTATCGTGATACTGGACTTGGGATCTTCTCTTTGCAACAGTACAAGGTAAATATGAAAACACCAAATCTTATCGCTACACTAGGACCTTATCAATATGCCAAGAAGTCAATTTCTCGATCTACTCATACACATGTCTTCTAATGCTTTTTCCAGGTCACTGTGAATACTAGTCAAGGCAGCACTACAAGCAACTCCTCCCTACCCTACAGAACCGGCCCTGCCCCTCCCCTAGCAGGGGTATTCGTCAATGGAACTGCCCTAAATCACACCTCAGTTCTGGTCACGTGGTACCCACCTGTTATTAAGCAGTTACGTGGCTCTGCTGTGTCGTATACTTTAGACGTTGAAGAAAGATCTGTCGTGAGTCGCGTGGGCACTTACCCCGGAACACAGACTCGTGTAACAGTTAATAATCTGAAGGCCAACACTGTGTACACATTTTATGTAAGAGCCTTTTTTTTATTCTTTCTTTCTATCTAAACATCGCTTCCAAGTTGTCCTCGGTAAACTACAGTTACTCGAAAATTATAAATATCCTCGGATCCAAATTTGATCCTGAATATCGTTTACTATCACTATTTGTTTCAATTAGTAAAAATCTTTTCTCTCTTTCTCATCAGGTTGAACTAAACAATGGAGCAGGAACCTTCAAGAGTGCTGGCTTTGGAATCAGAACCTTGGATGGAAGTAAGATAAACCTTTCTGAGCTTTTATTAAAAATAAAATACTTCTTGCTCCGCAAGAGTGCAGGGGTTTCCTAAAAACAAAGTGAGGTAACATTTGAAACATCCGTTTTCTTCAATGATTCGTTGTTTTTGTTGCCGCTTTTTTACTGATTGATCCTGGTTAGCATCAATTAATCCTTCTCCGAATGATCTCACGAAGCTAATCAGAGTCAGACTGTTTCATTTAGCAAACATCAATCGAAGATTGAATACCTCACCAAACGCAACTCTCGACTTTCCTCACGGTATCCTGTGGCAATTTGTATGTTGTTTATTTTAGTGCCTGAAGATTTCGATCCGCCTGCACTATACGTGGTCAGCAGCACTGCAATTCGCGTGAGTTGGAATGAGACAGGAAACCCGAATGGAGTTGTAATATTGTACAAAATATATGTGTAAGTAAATCACATACTAACTCTACTCTTGTCAATAGTACAAAAATGAATCTTTGTTTTAAAGGAAGCTACGCTCCCTCTGGGATAGTTGTTAACCCTTAAACTCCCATGAGTGACTAAGACAGAATTTCTCCCTACAATATCAATACAATATCAAGCAGACAAGTGATGAGAATAAAGAAAAATATCAATTTGGGGATAATTACTTGATCCAATACTAAATTCTCTGAACTAATATTATAATAATTGTATGGTTGACAGTAAGGAGAATTGCAAATATGACCTGGAAGTTGAAGGGTTAAACGTTGACTGATATACCTTTTTTTGGTTTTTTGCACAGAAACAACACGTTATGGGCTAACACTACTGGCGATCAACTACAAGTAATCGTGTCTGGACTGCAGCCGTTTACCTTCTATAGCATCAAGGTTTGCTGTTCACCTCTTTATTTACTATAATTGTTTGACCTAAACAGTCGTCATTAACAGGCAAAGGAGCCACTTGGAAATATTTTGCCCGAAATTTCTAGTTAGTCATTTACAAACGTTGTCAATCGTCGATCCTCGACCATTTATTCCTTCAATTTTTGGTGATAGTGTTCCTTACCAAACCAGTATTTTGTGGTTTCCTCCACTTTGAAACTAATTTAATAAGTCGCCAGAAAAGGCTTGACTTGTCGTGGCGTTGCGCCTAGAGAGGTCTGGTAACCAGATAAACTGACTAGTACTGTCTTGAAATAAAAAGTGTAGTTGATAATTCTCGTATTCACCAAAATCAAACAAGTTATATGCAGGCAGGGTGCATATTATTGGGGGTGAAGATTAAAGGCTTGTGTGCGTTTTTTTCCTCTCCAGTGAGAAAAAAGAACTTTGTATGTGTTACTCATCGTTTGCGACGCTACGATTGGGTATTTGCTAAGTTCCTCAGGTTCGTTTTAGATGTTAGATCATGATTCGAGCTGAGCGATTCTTTTTTTATTTTTATTAAGGTGGCAGTGTGCACTACACACGGTTGTACTCTCAGTGATGCAAGACAGGCGCGGACAAATGCTGCAGGTAAAACTTGTGTTTTTTCGTTGCTTGTTTGTTTTTGCTTTTTTTTTTTTTGCAAGTCAGCGAAGTGTTTAGTGATGAGTTTTCTTAACTGATTTATCTGTTATTATCTCAATCAGCACCGACAGGTTTTGCTGCTCCGCGACTCACTGCAGGATCAACTTTTATTGTTGTCCAATGGGGTAAGTTGGAATTTCTTGTGTTTTCTGTCGTGATAAAAGTTTGAAATAGTAGAGAAACTACAAGTGAGGCGTTTGAGAAAGGTTTATGAATATCTCTTTTTTTTTTTTTTCCATTTTTTAGAGCCACCATCTCGTCCAAACGGAATCATGTCTGGTTATCAGATTTTTAGAAGAATGGTGTACTCATGTCCAACGAGGTATGAATTACATTTTTTTAATCAAAGCCTTTACGTGTGTCGTGTAAGAGTAGTTTATGCTTCAGTTATCAACAGTTTCAATTAATTTAGAATTCTGAAACTCATATCGACCCGGAAATGACTTTTTTTTTCAGTCCCCCGCCAATCTCTAAATGCACTTTCATTGAGTGTCTCTTGTCAGAGCAGTTATGTGGAGTCACGTGTTACAATCCAGCCAATCAGGTAGGTCTCTTAAAAGTGAAACCGTGTCAAAAATTTTTACATTTTTCAAAAGGCATTTGATTCTCTTCCAAGCTCTCTTGCTGACGGATGAAAGAGGCCTTGAGCTGTCTTCATCATACAATACTTCGTCGACGAAACGCTCAAGAAACATTGACTACAATACAATTTCTACTCCAGCAAGTTGAATTGTGTGAATGCAGCTTAAGAACGTTATTTCATTCAAATGAACCATAGTTCCGTGTCAAAAGGCTACCCTGACCCTGTATTCCAACCAACTTCTTGTTCCGAAAATTCTTTCCACTATTTACTATCTATACAAAATGCGAGGTGATGTGGTAAACAGTCATGTACTAATTGTACGTTCAAAAACCTTTCTAGGTGTGTTGCAGTGGTGTTCTTCACCCACGTGACCCATCCAAGACTTGTTGTAGCGCGAATTATCTGCGTAAGAACCAGGCCTCTGATGTTTGTTGCGGTAACACTTTCCATATTCAACAAGCCGGCTATCAATGTTGCTATGGCAACTACATCAGTGTTGCTTCGGGACGAGTCTGCTGTCCTAAATCTCAGGGAGGTAGTGTGGTGGGTCTTGGTAATGCCTGTTGTGGAGACACCCCGTATAACAAGAACGACCCCACTAAGGTTTGCGTGTGTGGAGCGCTGTACGACCCCATTCCCCCACGAAAGTGTTGTGGCGGCAAAGTTGTGGCGTCTGCTCAGGTTTGCTGCGGCGATGAAAAGAACGGAGCCGCCTACGATCTGGAAGCTAGCAAGACTTGCTGTGGAGCTCAATACATTTCTGAAGACACGAGCCTTTGTTGTCAAGGATCAGCGGGAGATGTCGTGGTAAGTGCGCAGTCATATTTTACTTGGTTTAAACACTGATCCGGGCTTAGGGTATTTGCATTCAGGGACCACCTACCCAACAGGTTGTTAGCCTCTGCCTGAATCCAAGATCAAAGTTGATTAGAGTTAAGGAACCCAATGATACTTATCTTAACTTGAAAATACTTTTTGTTCTTTTAAGGTTTATAACTACACCAGCGCACGCGATAAATCTACATCCAATCACAAATGCTGTGGTAAAAAACGAATTTCTAGTTTTCTCACATGTTGCAACGAACGTGGCTATAACTCTACTTACCAGACTTGCGCAGATATTTCCAGCAACGGAACGTTAGGCTGTGGAATGGGAACAATTTGTAATAAGACTGATGCACTCGCAGCAATGTGTGATCGATGTGATTTTGATAATTCAACGATGAACTGCGGATTTGTTGCTGGCCACTACGCTCCAACTCCTTCGACTGTTGTACCAAGAATCTGTGCCACGGATTACGAAGAAATACTTAAAAATCAATACAATGCTGATATCCGTGAATATAACGACACTGGGCTCTCTCCTCATACAGAATATGAATACTACCTTGTCGCAATCAATAATGGATTTAATGTGTCAAGTCCAGAAGCCAAGAACCGAACACTGATGGGTCGCCCTGAAGGTCTTTTACCGCCAGTTGCAGTTCCAATTTCCTCGACTGAAATCCGCGTTACTTGGAGTAAGCCAGCAAAACCCAACGGAGAAATCCAAGAGTATAGGCTGACCCGGGTCAGCGGTCAAATTAAGCTGCGTCAAGTGGTATATACCGGTCTTAATTTAACTTATACAGACCGTGGATTGGAGCCGTTTACTGGATATGGTTACGTTATCGAGGCATGCACGACGCACTGCTCATCAGCGGAAATGACGTCACTGATCTACACCGACCAAGCTGCCCCGGCGGAAGTGAACGCAGCCATTTTACTTCCGTTAAACTTCAGCGCTATAAATGTTTCTTGGATTGAACCTTCCAAACCTAACGGACAGATTATTCGTTACAATGTGAGCCGTGTAGTAAACAGCACGTACAAGATCCATTTGAACCCGAATGACAAAGGTTTGTCCGTAAGGAGCCTGGTAATTGGGGGTCTTAAACCCTATACTAACTATACCTTTGAAGTGATAGCTTGTACGCGCGTGGGTTGCACACCAGGTCCGCTGGCCTCCACGCTAACACTGCAGGCGCCGCCTGAAGGTGTCCACCCACCCAATCTCACAGTCATCGGGGCCAGGGAAATCGAAGCCACATGGATTGGACCAGACGTTCTAAATGGTGTGATTGTTTCATACTCACTCTACCGCGGAGATCTTGTTGTGTACAACGGGACGAATGCATGTTACAAAAATCAACACGGTAAAGACATTTGTATCTTCCAAGACCGAGGCAACGGTCTCCAACCAGTGACGACTTACAATTACTCAGTCGCTGCTTCGACTGGCGGGGGTACCACTAGGAGTGCTGTGTCTACTGCCACTACCCCAGAGAGTTCTCCAGAGGCCATTCCCAAGCCTCGTTTGACTGTGAAAAGCGCTTATAGTATTTTAGCGGAATGGAATGCTCCAGGTCAGCCAAACGGTAACATTACAAGTTATTCTGCGGTCGTTAATGGCACAGAGTATGTTGTCGCTCTCAACATGAGCAAGTTGATTCCAGGATTGAATCCTTTTACTATATATTCTGTTCGCCTGAAGGCCTGTACCGCTAAAGGCTGCGGACTCGGGGAAAGAGAGCATGCAAGAACTGGCGAGGCTCCTCCCATCGGACAGGGGGCACCTACCCTGGTAGCACGAGAATGGAATGTTGTACAAGTCTCTTGGTCGCGGCCTTCCTTTCCAAATGGAATCGTCGTCCAATATGTAGTTTACCGTAAGACAGGTAACAGTGCCCCGCTTCCAGTTTGTTTCACGCTCCAGCGGTCATGTCTGAATAGTGGTTTGTTAGGTTACACGGATTATTCCTATAGAATAAGAGTTGTAAACAGCGCAGGCTTTGAAGAAGGCCCTTGGACCGACGTGCGCACTCCTCAGGGGCCTCCTCAAGGCATACGACCACCTTCTCTTACAGTACTCAACTCCACTGCAGTGTATCTTTCATGGACTGTACCCTCTCAGCCCAACGGTATAGTCACACACTATGAAGTGCGCTATCACAAAGGACTACAAACTCCCGACAACAGTAACGTCACAGTAGCAGCTCGGTTGCCTAGCAACGTACTGAACGCCACGGTGAGCGGGCTAGACCCTTATACGGACTATCAGTTCCTGATCGCTGCCATCAACAGCCGGCGTGAGGGGGTGAGCGCCTGGGCGACAGCAAAAACCAAACAAGCACCACCAGCAGACCTTCCTCTCCTTCGTGCTGACAAGACGAAAGATGGAAAGAGCATGCGCATGTTGTGGGATGAGCCCGGGTCTCCTAACGGGGTCATTACTCACTACAAACTGTACAAAGACAGTGTCTTGATTTATCGCGGCAGCATCCGAGAATACACGGTCTCAAGACTTGTTCCTTACACTGCGTACGAGTTTCAGCTAGAGGCCTGTAATGTTGCAGGGTGCACGCGGGGTCCCACGCAAATCATTTTCTCCGCAGAGGTGGACCCACAAGGCCTGTCCCGACCTACAACAGGGTTTATCAATGCCACAGCTGTGGAGCTGAACTGGAGATCGCCAGCAATTCCAAACGGAATCATCATCCGTTATGAGATTTACATGACGGTCACGCCGCTTCAGAAGCGACGAAGGCGCGCTGTAACACCTCCCTCCGGTCAACTGGTGTATTCCACCAATGATACAAACAAGACAGATTTCAAGCACACAGAGACGGGATTGAAGCCTTACACAAAGTACGGGTTTAGTGTACGCGCGGTCAACGGTGGAGGTTTTACGGAAAGCGACCCACTGATCGTAACCACATCTCAAGCTGCTCCTTCGTCCGTCGATGCACCACTGGTCTTGTTGATGACCGTGTATTCCTTGAATGTGACTTGGAAAAAACCACTAGAACCCAACGGCGTTGTTCAGTTTTATTTTGTGTTCAGGAACAATTCTATTAAATATAAAGGAAACGAACTGAGTTTTGTAGATCAAGGTCTAGAGCCATACACCGTATACAGTTACACCGTGGAGGTGTGTACTAGCTGCAATGTTGACTGCTGTACGCAGAGCTCTCCATCAAGCCGCCGAACAACTCAGGCTGCACCGTCGGGTGTGTATCCCCCGGCCTTAGAAGCGGAAAGTGCTTTGGCTATAAAGATATCTTGGGTGACGCCTGACAAGCCCAATGGAATCATTACCCAGTACCAAGTGTATGAAGTTGGTGACAGTTCTCCGATTTATACCGGACAGGACATGACGCTCACTGTAAGCGGGAAGGCACCTTTCTCTAAATATTCCTTTTACATTAGTGCTTGTACGAGCGAGGGTTGTACACAGAGTGCACCAGCTGAAGTGCGCACCAAAGAAGCTCCTCCGAGAGATCTCCTCGCCCCTGTTGCCACAGTCGGTGGTTCTTCGTTTGTGCGAGTAGAATGGAATGCACCGCTAAAACCATATGGTGTAATACTCCACTATCTCCTTACACGTAATGGCTCCCAAGTATACAACGGTACTGATCTGAAATTTAACGACCTCACTGTGGCCCCACACACCGTGTATATGTATGTTGTGACGGCAGTGAATTCCGCGGGCCGCGTGTCAAGTCCTCCTGGATTCAGCGCTGCTACTAATCCTGGTGCTCCAGACAATGTGAGCATCCCGACGTTATATGTTCTCAGTGCAACATCCATTAAAGTCCTGTGGACAGCCCCGGGGGTTCCAAACGGTGTCATCTTCAAATATGAAGTATTGTACAACTTCATGGGAGCGCAAGGCGTTGCACAGGTGAATGACGCTGGTATTGCCAAGGAGATTACCCTAAAAGACCTGTTGCCATATACGTTGTATGAAGTCAGAATCCGCGCTTGTACACTTAAAGGCTGCAGCATAGGAGAGGCGAACTATGCCCGTACATTTGAGGCTCCGCCAGAGGGTCAGAATCCCCCAGATTTCCCAACATCTAATATTGGTGCTAGGAGAGTACTTGTCACCTGGAATGAGCCTTTAAAACCCAACGGATTTATGCTGTCGTACAGACTTTACAGGCGTGGAGTATCGTTGTATGGTAACCAGGCGACAGTGTATGGTCCGGCAGAGTCTGTAGTAAACGTAACTAATGGATCTGCTCTAGCTTACAGTGATACAAACGTGAAGCCGTACTTCAAGTATAATTACCGAGTTATCTCTGCAAACAGCGCTGGTGAAACGGTTAGTCAGTGGTCGTTGGTTCAAACCTTGAGTGCAGCACCAGAGCAGCTTAAAGCGCCTCATGTGAACAAGACTTACCCTTACAGTTTGGAAGTGTTCATCTTCCCACCTGGTGAACCTAATGGAGAGATAAGAAATTACATCCTCGAAGTTTCTGGACGAAATGTATCTCAAGAGCTAACCACTACTCGTGAGGTGGCGGGCCTTGAGCCATTTACGGACTATGTTCTACGTGTGTACGTCTGCACGGATGGAGGGTGCGCCGCGGGACCCACTGCAACCTGGAAGACCTCTGTTGGAGTGCCGTCAGAGTTTGCCGCCCCACGCCCGATTGAAATAACCAATAACTTCGTCACACTTATATGGGACGAGCCAGGAAAACCCAATGGAGTCATCCAAAGGTGGGCAAAAACTCTATTTACTCTGTCCTGCATTTCCATCATCCACCGAGTTTATTCATGTTAGTGAAAACTGGAGGCAACGCTAATGAACCTGAACTTTGATTCTAAAAAAATTTTCATTTTTTTTTTTTAGATATGAGGTTCTGTTTCATGAAACTTGCGCTGTCGGTTGTCCTACTGCAATGCCCGAGAGTGGACTGAACACGAGTTTGTCTCGGCGTTATACCGTTAGAAGCCTGTCACCCTATACTATGTATAACTTCAGGATACGAGTTCACAACTCACGGCATTCGAGTTTATCGGATGAACAAAGAGTGCGAACACTAGCTGCAGGTACGTTAATATCAGTATGATAATGTCAAAATGTTTGCGTCACTGTATGTAGGCAATGACCACGAGATAAACTTTTATTTGAGATCGTTAGTTGTTAAGTCACCTTTGATTTAGGGAGAAGTGGCGCCATGATGGTTGCTGCACTGTACTTCAAATCGCTCCTAAGCTCGAGCCCAGTCCAATCTCTGTTTAAAAAAATGAAATTTATTTCATTTAATTGTGTTCGGATCATTACATCGTGTTTCAAACAGTGCCTCTCTTACCAAGGTGTACTACTACAATTTGCATGAAAGTATTTTTACCTTGTGCCTCATTGGTTCGTATTGTTAATTTAACGGAAATCGGTTATGATGCGTTTTTCGAAGAAATTCGTAATGATACTCTTTGACGTCCGAAGGTTTATATGTTTATGGTTTCAACCTGATATATTTTGTATTTTTGTAACAGTAAATCTAACTAGAATTTAAATCAATGTTGGAGCAATTTCCGAAGTTAGGCAAAAATTCATTTTCGTCTACCTCCTTAGCAAATGTTTTGCTTTAATTGGTTCCAGGTCCACAGACGACAGAACTGAGGCCTCGAGTAAATGTGTCCGGGCTCCGAGTGGCCGTGGACTGGAGCGATTGCTTTATTTTGAACGGACCGCTGGACTCCTATGAGCTGTTAGAAAATGGATTGCTTGTCTATGAAGGACAGCAAAACAAAATGGACTTGGGAAATAGGAATAAAGGAGGTTAGAGGCGAAATCAACCAATCACATCCTGGTTGTTAAATGATCTCGTTTCTCTTAGAGTATTTACGCCACATTGTTTTGAGTTGAATTTTTTCGCCACTTGCTGAAATAACTTCAAGTTAAAGAGACTTCAAAATCATAAAGTCGTACGGTAGAAAATAATTTAAGAGGCAATGATAAATTTAAAAGGGACTCGAGATTATTCACTCTACAATATTCTCTATTCGTGATCTTATCACTTGGAATTTTCTCGGAACGAGATGAGTAACTTCTTTTCTTGGGATTTGTTTTTTAACGACATTTTATCCGGTTTATCTTTGTTACAGAGTACACCTACAAAGTACATGCCACAACTTTAGTGCAAGGAAGCAAAATGACTGTAGAATCACCTCCCAGTGTTCCTGTTCAGGTGCAATGTAAGTTGTCCGCCCAAACTTATTTATTGCTTGGTACAGAAAAACCGATCGCCGTTTTTTTTTACGCGAGGTTAAAGGCTGATAGTAACCTGCATCTAATTTACCTTTAAAAATTACCATTCAGCCAATTGAATACAAGTCACTAGAACTGAAGGATGTGATCAGCAAGTGAGAAAGGTCTTCATCGTCAAACAAATTCTCCTCGTCTGTTTCATATGAAACGTAAGAAGAACAGTGTACAAAATACGTTAATTGATAGCAAGGTTGAAATGATTAACCCTCTGGCTCCTAAGAGTGACTAACAATATTATACAGTCTGAGTCACACGTTAAGGTCACGAGAATAAGGAAATGATCACCTACTAAAGAAGCTTCTGATTGTTTAACCAATTCTCTTCATCAGCACCTTAGGAAATGTGTAGAGAAAAGTGTGGAGAATATACATACTGATGTTAGGGTGTAAAGGGTTCACACGTTATCTCTATCTGTTCTCAGCTGAAGTTATTGCAGCAACATCAGCACCCCGCACTGCTTCGGATGAGTGGCAAAAGAGTGTTTGGTTTATTGCTGTCATGGCATTGGTCGCCATCATTATCCTGTTTGCGTTGATATTCTGTTGTATGCGGAAATCCACCGGGAGTAGAACAGTTTTTGTACGGAACAGGGAACCTTTACCTCCACGCACCAAACTGCGTTCCAGGCCTCCATCCATGTCCAGTCTTTACACGTCCAGCGACAGAAAGAGTGGAAGCATGACTGTAAGTGGTTGATGATTACATCAAGGGAAAGTGGGGGGGGAGCATGATTAACGTATTAACGTTCATCAAATATTTTCTCCGGCTCGCGATGATAATAATGCTTCTGGGTAACTTGGGAATATGCGTTGATTTTCCTAAAGCGACATTCCCGATTTTTTCCAGACTTACTTTCGATGCTATTAAAGTTTACGGTTAGAGTTTTATTGAAGATGATGCGTTTTGTCATTTTTACAATGGAGAATATCGTTCTACTGAAGAACACTTGGGATTTGACATCAGTTTAGTTTGGCAGGCAGCTGTTCGAAAACATTGTCTCGCGGGCTGCAAAATATTTGAAGGTGAATGAACTGAACGAAATGCCCTCCATTTAGGATACAGATATGCTCTATTATTTGTCCATAGATGTGATCTGTTCCTCGAAGTTTATCGTTTTCCTCGAGGTTCGCTCTTAGAAAACTGTTCGCTCTTCGGAATAGATAATGTCCACTGGCAAATATCCACGCATATTTTCGAGCCAATTGTTTGTTTTTTGTTATCGTCCTAAAATTTAACTGAGCCCGCATCTTTGCTACTTTTCGACACGTGGCGCCTTCCAAGGGGTCAGTAGAACTGGTGACTAGCGATCAATTGGGTAAAGGGAGTAATTAATTATTGGTTGGTTTGTTACATCTCGTTCATCTCATACAACTTTGTTTATGTCACAGACTGCAAGAAGTCCACGCATAATCCTTGATTAACAAAGGCTTTCGATGTAACTTATTTTGTTTCAGGAGATGCATTTAATGAACCCGTACCACAGTAGTACCACAGCTTTGTTTGACAGCACAGAGAGGCTGAACAAGACTCCCGAACAATTTGACTTTTACAATGGCAGCATGCACAAAGTTCCTCCAGATATGAGTCAAGACTGGGACCATTATGTCAAGAGTTATAGCAACAGGGATTCTGGACTGGTAAGGACTCGTGGCTGATCTTTCTCGCTATTATAGTCCTTGAGAGTGTTTTCCGGTTTAACATCTTCGGCAAATCTCTGGAGAACATCTTCGGCAGTGTTCGGAACTCCGAGTAATTTCTACTGACTTACTGACCAACCTACGTAGCCAGCTATCGACTTAACAACTAACTCACCTTCTTCACAAACTGCCTAGCCATCTGCAGCGTTAGACTCGGTTTAGTCTGTGTTACGTCGCTAAACTACTTGTGTTTCTATTCTTGCAGTACGATGACGAAAAACTGGACTTCTCGGACAGTGAACCAAGCACACCATATCAAAGCTTTAAGAGGGAGCAGTACTTTACGGATACACACTTATAAGAACAAATAGTCTTTCAAAGTAGCCAAGATTTGTGACTTTTAAATCAGATTAATATTATTAATGAACAATACTTGTAGTTTAGGTAGTGTATTTTCAAATTTTGATTCCAGTTACGAGTGTGAAACGACTGAATGTATTCCTGAGAAATTTTTGTGCAGGGTCTGAAAAAAATTTTTTTTTCAAGAAAATAATTTTCCGATCAGCAAGGTATTTAGCTTTCATAAATAGTGTGGGACCAACTTCCCATTTCCTCAGTAATGTCAATGCCACTTTCGTTGCTCTCATTGATCTGTTTTGTGATATACTTTTTCTCTGGAAAGAGCGTCAGGAAAAACGTTGCCTAACACTTGTGTTTGTATATAAAGCTTTGATGAGTGTGGAAATTTGGCAGGGACTTGTTACCTCGTAGTCAATAAATCCCACTACAAGTGTGTGATGATCTCGAAGTCGAGATTTAGAAGAATATTGCAGGATATAGCACTTAGTAAAATCTCAGAAATAGATATTATGTCCTGAGGACACTTTTTGTATCTAATTAGACGCCACCATTACGTATTTCATTGTTTACGTTAAACTTCTGCAACCTTTTTTTTTTTTTTTTATTAAGACCCGTTCGTGGAAATTACAACGCATGCATGCGATTCTCTTACCCCAGTTTCTTTGAGAATATAATCATATTGGCTTCGTTCAAAATTCTGGGCTTGTATATGTGTATACTACAGTTGAACTGTATATAAGCTTGAAAGCTGAGCTGAAATTAAAATATGTTTTTAATAATACAAGTTATTTTAATGTTTTTATCCATGGGTTGATCAACAATACAAATGCGACACCTCATCAAAAACAGTTAAATCCTCAAATCTGGCCTTTACGAAGCCCTTTCAGTTCACGATCAAGGCAATGCTTGACATGAATCGTATTACCATAGAAAGGCGCATCCACGTGCAGCGTTACCAAACACTTCTGAAGACACCAACGATCAGCAAACAGCGAGAGAGCCCCGTTGCTATAATTTAGTTGATTGTAGGCATCAATCTGATGAAAAGAAAGAAGAAGTTAGTTCTTCAACACACCACAAAGGTACTCACACCTCACTCGTTCGTGAGAAGGGCTGCCAGTGAACAAGTTCGCGAAGCTTACCAATTTGGTTGTGGGTGTTGAAACAGTGAAGGGAACAAGTTTGATGAAAATGATGAGACGAGGGACTTCCAGATTGAAGGCATCTCCAGCTGACAGAATTCAGATAGCGGTTCGGTAGAAGCTAGTTCCAGTTCCTCTAGAAGCAAAAATGGGGATCCTCCGTCCATCATTCGTCTGGAAAGAGTGTACTTCTCCATTAAAACAATACCATACCATTATCCGCACGACTCCTCCAAAACTGCTTTGCAAGGCTCAGTGTCGAGTACGTGTGGCATCGAGTTTCAACCGAGTTTCATCCCACAACAAAAACAAGTCAAAACGTTTCGCAAAGAAACGTGTAAGGCTTTGCATGCCGAAAAGAAAGTTTTCGCGATTTCACAAACGTCCGTGGCCCGTCCGGTTAAAAGGAAAGCAGATTGCAGCTCTGGAAGACAAGAAGAAAACGGATTGAATATGGTAAATGCAACTGATCAAAAGTTCCAAACGAGACAGAGACGTGGAAACATCTCAACAAGCACGAAGAGGTACATGCAGATAAAGAGCTATAAATATAAGTAAAAGAAAATCATTGTATATAAAGGGAGACCACTGACCTTTGGAAATGACAATTTTATTTATTATAAGTCATTTATAACTTTGGAGATAAGAAACTACCCTAAGGGTCCACAATGCAGACATCCGTGAAAACAAATTTTCAGTTCCCGCCAAAATTGATTCCAGCCAACGCCCTGGTTTTCCTTGGTTCTCCCCTTACTTTCTCTTGATACAACACAGTAATTAAAAAATTTGAGTAATGCAAAACACTGCCCTATATGCATGTAAGCATTTTACAAATTTAGCCAAGAAACTTTTCATGGCACTCTTAACACAATGGCAAACTATTTGTTGAAGCAAGAATCAATTAAGTCATTCAGTTGACACAAGAAGTAATGTTCACTCAAAGTTCAAACCTTTGTGACAATTTCTTGTCTTCAGGTTGACGAAATCCTGAGCTGGAATCTGCTCTGATTTGCAGCCGAGGAGATCTTCCTCGACCTGCTCAGGCATTCTTGCTCTGAACTACTGATTACGAATCCAACTCCGACGCTGATAAAACCAGCGTAAGCGGTGCTTAAATTTATTCTCACCGTCAAACAATCAGACCTTTTTTTGACATACGTTCAAGGGTTACTAGCAAGAAGTTCCTCACGCTTTCACCTTAACTTCTACGGTCGGCCCTCCCTGACTTCGGACAACAGGTACTACTCTTCCTAGTAAATAAAACATAACAAGGAGAAAGCAAAGCGGAATGGAACTAGAAAAACGCCAAACAGATAAGACAAAGCAAATTTAATCTTCTTCTAAAAAAAACGAGCAGTATGAAACAGTATAAAATAAGGTCAACAAAAGCAGTAGGAACGTTTTATAAAGCTTTTGCAAAACAGACAACTTAGGTAGTTTATTTATTAACCATAACTGCGAGAAATCACAATTCTATACCAGGGCCCCATATCTGGACGGATTCGAATCTTCAGGATCGTCAACACATTACCGTTTAGCATGAAATTTCCGCTGGTTTTGATTCTGTGGATTGTTCTCCATCTGGAAAGTAAGTTCTCAGTGAAAAAAA